CACACACACACACACACACACACACACACACACACACACACACACACGGTGAGTGGGGGGGGAGACAGACATACATTGGAGATGATGTGGGCTTTTGAAACCTCCAGTGACACACCTTCTGTCTGAAACAAGGTCAGACTTGTTAATACTTCCCAAACTGTTCCCCTAACTGAGGACCAAGCATGTAAGCATACACACTTATAGGGACCATCATTATTCAGACCAGTCAGTATCTATGATCCACTGGGACTTCTGGAACTTTTCAGATGCCACATATTAGAGATAATAAAAAGGATGAGCAGGCTATCGACTTACACATGCAGACACAGTTATGGGAATGGGTGACTGTACAGTCTGGCAGGGAACTAAACAACAAAACTGCCAGAAGGGCTACTTTACAGTAATACAGAGCATGTCACATGCGGCTCCAACCCCAGGGGCACATCTCTATTAAAGTAATAAAATCTGCTAAGCACGCAATGTGACACTGACGCCCCTTGCAGGGCCTCGAGTAGGAGGGGCACCAGTTCCTGGCCTGTGAATAGCCGCTTTAATCTTTAAATTTCTTTGAAGTTTAACATTTTACCTTAAACACTTCTGTGAATTTCACAACTTGATGCAAGTATGCGTATAATTTTAATTTAAATTTTCATCCCCTCTTCTCTTTCTGCGATACATCCTTAAATCCTGTTGCAAAATATAAGTTTCTAGAAATAAGTTGTGTTGAGTTTTGTGGCTTCAAGTGCCCTTTGGTTCACTCAGCCGCATAAGCAATTTTGAGAAGGCAGAGAAGGGTGACATATGATTCACAAATGCTTCCTCAGAGATGGCTGAGAAGCAAGAACTCTGGGAATTAAAGGAACAAACTTCAGCCAGTGGGCAAATGCTTTCACAGGAAATCACTATTTCTCCTGACATCAGGCAGAACAAAGAACAAGCAATTACTACTGAGAGACTGCCATTCTCCTCCCTAATGTAAAAAATTCTTAATTTAAAAAAATTTACCTCAAATACAGAAAAATGAGTATACCATAAACTTACCTACGTTACTTAACGCTTCAAAGAGTATTTACCTGACATCTTGACAGCTTTGCATTTTCTGTGTGGTTTAAAACATGGAACATGTTTTAGTAGTAAATTATTTTGGGGTAGTCTTGTACTGAAGAAATAACGCAGGGTTATTATGTGGGTAACAAGATTCTACAGAGTACAGCCAGTATTTTTTTTGTTTTTTGTTTTTTCTAAATCAATATAATTTCATCTTAAAAAGGCAAGAAGTAGTAATATCTAACAAAACTCATGGTCAGATCAAGATAATAA